TCTATGAAATCAATAAAACTAATTAAATAAAAACAGCAATGTTCTGTATCCTATAGGTTTATTTTGTTGTTGTTTATTTTGTTTTTCAGATGTATGTGAAATATATAGCATGTTTCTTTCATTTGCCATGTCAGGAAAGTTTTCAGTCATTATTTCTTCAAATAGGTTTTCAATTCCTTGTTTTCTCTTCTCCTTCTAGTACCCCTATGATGCCATTGTTAAAGGCTTGATGTTGTCCAGAGGCTCCTTAAACTATTATCATTTTTCTTTTTGCCTTGCTGATGAGGTGTTTTTTGCTGCCTTATCTTCCAAATTGTTGGTGCAATCTTCTGCTTCATCTAATCAACAACTGAGTCCCTCTAATGTACATTTTAAAATATATTTTTATTAGGGGCACAGTGCACGAAATCATGCATCTTGAAAGGAACTGTGGGCAGTGGGCACAGGGGCATGTCTCGGACCATTCTCTGCAGCCCTGCCTGGCCTCTTCTGCCATTGCCCCCCCCCCCCAAACTCCTCCCTGCTGCAGCCCTGCTTCTTCCACCCCCACTGCTCCCACACGCTGACAGCACCAGCTCAGCTTGCACCTGTTGATGGTGCAGAGTGATTGGAGCCAGCACCTTCAGCGGGTGTGAGCAGTGGCTGCTACCCTGATCACCCTTTAGGAGCAGGGATAGGCTGAGAAGCCCTCAGGGGCAATCAAGGCGGGCAGCCACCATTCACACCTGCTGACAGTATCGAGTGAGCAGGACCAGATTGGGGCAACTGTAGTGGGGCAAGTGGCAGCTCTGGCACTGGCTGCTGGTATGAGAGGTGGCTGCTGGCCCCGATCACTCCTCAGGAGCAGAGGGAGGTGGAGGTGCCAAGTGATTAGGGCCAATGCTGGGTGCCGGTGCAAGTGCCGAGTGGTACTATGGCACGGAAGCAAAGAATTTTTAGTAACCACCAGAGGCTCGCCCCAATGACAGGGACCGGCGCCTCGTCTTGGTCTGGTATCCCAGCTTACCTGCTCCACCAGCCTGCTGTGGCCAATACCTGCCATGTTTCACATGTGCCCCTGGTGGTCAGCAAACATCATAATGACTGGTTATTTGCTTGTTCTGCTGTTTGGGGTTTTATATACACTAGAGGCCCGATGCATAAAGATTCATGCAAGAATGGGCCTTCCTTCCCCTGGCTGCCTGCACCGCCTTTGCTCTGGCTGGAGCATCCTTGCCACTCCTGCCTGGAGCTGCCTTTCTGCCTTCCCACACTGCCCAGAGGCCCGGAGCGGTTAGGGTGGTGTGGAATGCCTGCATCGTCGCCATGGTGATGATGCAAGTGTCCCACCTCGCCCCTGGCAACTTGGCGCCTGCGTATGCAAATTAACTCACCGGCCTTGTTGGGTTAATTTGCATATCCACTCCTGATTGGCTGGTGAGCGTGAGGAAGGTATGGTCAATTAGCATGTTACTCTTTTATTAGGTAGATGATTGATTTCAGAGAAGAACATTAGAGAGAGAGATAGAAACATCAGTGATGAGAGAGGATCATTGATCTGCTGCCTCCTGTACACTCCCTAATCTCCAGATTGAGCCCACAACTGGGGCATGTGCCCTGAATTGGAATTGAACCATAGCTTCCTGGTTCATAAGTAAACTCATAGATAGACTCTCAGCCACTGAGCCACAGTGGACAGCCTTTTAATGTAGTCTTCATTTCAGTTATTATAGTCTTCATTTCTGACTTTTTTTTTTTTTAATGTTTTCTATGTCTATTTTTGTGTTTCCTGTTGTTTTTTCGTGTGTGTGTGTTCAGAGAGAATGAGAGAAAGAGAAAGAGATAGAAACATCAATGATGAGAGAGAATCATTGATTGGCTGCCTGGGGATTGAGCCCACAACCCAGGCATGTGCCTTGACTAGGAATCGAACTGTGATCCTCTGGTTCATAGGTCAATGCTCAACCATTGAGCCAGGCCATCTGGCCCCCACCCCCCCACCCCCTTTTTTTATTGAAATCATTGAGCAGTCTTATAGGCAGTAGTTTGAACTCTGCATCTGGTAGATTGCTTGTCTCTACTTTGTTCTGTTCTTTTATTTAGGAAATGTATCTTTGTCTCATTTTGGCTGCCTTCCTGTATTTTTTTCTACATATTAGATATAACTGCCACAGTGTGGCCTTATGTAGTATGTATCTGTGATATCCAGTTGCACAATCTCCCTATTATCTGAGCCTGGTGCTCTAGATGTATCCCTTTGTGTAAGTTATGTGTGTCTTCCTGTTGTAGTTGAGACTTGATTGCTGGTGATATTTCAGTGAAAGGGATTGACCCTCAGGCTGATTGGTTGTGAGGATTGGCCATGACTACCAGAGAGAGGTTGTTGTGGGGGGTTGACCCTTTGGAGCAGGGTTTGCTTTTGCTTTAACTAGGCTCTGGTAGCTGCTGATTCTGCCTTTGGAGTATCGTTTGTGGAGGTGATTGGCTGGTGGTGTCTGAAGCTGGCTACTCGGTTTCTTTGTTCTGGGGCCTCTTAGGACATGTAGGCCAAGGCTAGCTGCAGCCTATACCCTGCGTGGGCCCACCTGATCCAGTAGAAGCTACAAAATGATCTGCAGATGGTTGCTACTTTTTCTGGGTTTGGAGGTGCTTAGGAGATGCTAAGCTGTAAATTGAGGCTTGTTGCCACTAGTTTCTGAGTTGGGGCTGCCTAATAAGAAGTTTGGTGCACACAGGGGCCAGATGCTGCTTATTTGGGGTTTTGAACTTCTGAGATTTTTTATCCACAGCATGAGCTCTTGGTATAGAAAAGCCACTAGAAGTGACTTGGGCTGTGCCTACAAGTTGGGTGGGGTAGGTCCTTTGGGAATGGGGATGGGAGAACAATTTTAGCCAGGTTAATGGAGACTGAGATATGATTCTTATCTGTGCATGCAAGGGAAGGGCTCAGCAAAGGAACAGTGGCTTCTCCCAGCACTTCTGTCTGGGAGGAAGCTGCCCCTACAGCCCTCATCATGAAGCTGGTCAATTTAGTTCCTCTCCTTTGTCTCTGGCATCTTTCACGCTGCTGTCCCATTACTGCAGGTTAGAGTGAGTGAGTCTGTGAGCAGGTTCTTGAAGAGGAACTGAGACTCCAGCAGCTCTCCATCTCACTCAGCCACAATCCCTGTGGATCTTTGCTCAAATATAGTTTCATTTATCCCTGATACTTATTCTTTATGCTAATTTTCATATGCTACATTTACATATTCTTTAGACCCTATATACAATGTTATGAATTTTCCTTTAGTTATATGTATTTTGAAAATACATATAGTGAGTAGGTAGCATCAGCAGAAATCTATTCTATTCTTTTAGCACAAACTGGTCTGCTCAGAATCCTCCCCACATGTACATATTTCAGAGGTTTCCACAGAGTGAATATGCAGAATATAAGGCTCTCCTTCCATACTTCCTTCCTGGGATTTCTCCTCTTTACTCTTTTAGATTTCTACTGTCCAATAGAACTTTTTGTGGTGGTGAAAATGTTTCACAATGGTAGCCACTTGTTACATGAAGCTGTTGAGGACTTGAAGTGTGGGTGGTGCACCTGAAAATGGGATTTTTAATTTTAATTAGTCTCCATTTAAACATGAATACTCACATATGTCAAGTGATACTGTATTGGATATACTATTATTGCAAAAAGTTCTATTGGACAGCACTGTTCTAGATACTGTGGTTATCTTGAACTCTGTCCTTATTTTTCTGAGCTAATAAGACAATAGATTTTTATCTAGATTTGAACTGACCTGCATAGTCAGAATAAAGCCTTCCCTCAGTTTAAAAAGTATAGAAAGTAGGAAGCTCAAAGCAGTACTTTCTGTTTTCCCTCATGTGAACTCCCTTCCAATTCATGCCAGATTATTTTTTTAAAGATTTTTAAAATTGATTTTTAGAAAGAGAGGAAGGGACAGGGACAGAGTGAGAGGGAGGAAAAGAGGGAGGGAGGGAAACAGAGAGAGACATCGATGTAAGAGCAGAACATCAATTGGCTACCTCCTACACGTTGCACGTCCCCTACTAGGGATCGGGCCTGCAACATGGGCATGTACCCTGACTAGGAGTGGTTAGAGGCGGTCAGTCAGGCAGGCAAGTGAGTGGTTAGGAGCCAGTGGTCCCGGATTGCAAGAGGGATGTCTGACTGCTGTCGGACATCCCCTGAGGGGTTCCAGACTGGAGAAGGTGCAGGCCTGCCTGATTGCCCCTAACCGCTCTGCCTGCCGACCTGATCACCCCCAACTGTTCCCTCTCCCCCACTGGCCTGATTGCCCACAACTACTCCCCTAGCCTGATCACCTCCAACTGCCCATCCCTACCAGCCTGATTGCTCCTAACCGCCTCTGCCTTAGCCTCACCACCATGGTTTTGTCTGGAAGGACGTCCAGAGGTCTCCTGGAAGGTCTCTCAGTCTAATTAGCATATTTCCCTTTTATTATAGTATAGATATGCATCCAATAAGAATTGCTTCACCATTTACCAGAAGTTGAACTCCACCTCTTTTAAATCATTTTAGTAGTGATTTAATTTTAAGGTATTAATTTTTGTGTGTTTTGTTATAAGACTATTTACCAACCACTTATTATCCATGCCCTTTAACCTTCCTAAAAGTATTATGTACTTTTTAAAAAAATATATTTTATTGATATTTTACAGAGAGAAAGGGAGAGAGATAGCTAGAAACATCGATGAGAGAGAAACATCGACCAGCTGCCTCTTGCACACCCCCTTCCGGGGATGTGCCCGCAACCAAGGTACATGCCCTTGACCGGAATCGAACCTGGGACCTTTCAGTCCGCAGACCAACGCTCTACCATTGAGCCAAACCGGTTTCGGCGTGTATTATGTACCTTTAAGGTTACTGAATCTTAATATTCTAAATTTGATATTCCTATCTCAGATATGCTAGAATTTAATGGAATTCTTCAAAGCAGTAAACTCATATCATTGATAACCTGTTTGGTATACCTTGCCTTTTCTAGATACCTAAAAAGGTTTAAGGTGATGAAGATCAAAGTCCTACGAAGCTGGTGCCGGCAGATCCTTAAAGGACTTCAGTTTCTTCATACTCGAACTCCACCTATTATTCACCGAGATCTTAAGTGTGACAACATCTTTATCACTGGCCCTACGGGCTCCGTCAAGATTGGAGACTTAGGTCTGGCAACCCTGAAGCGGGCTTCTTTTGCCAAGAGTGTGATAGGTATGTTTCAAGTATAACTGGCTTTCTGACATACCTTTTAATTAGAAGCCTGACCCTGTCAGAGCTTTTTATTATGTAACTAAACCTTCAAAAATTCATAACATGAATTTAGGAAGTGATCAGTTCTACTTAATGAGATGTGTAGCTCTCTATATTTAAGCTTCTAGAATCATCTTCTATCAATGTTTTTATAAATTATAAACAAGTAAGGTGAACTCTTTTAATAAAACTTATGTTAGTTGTCAGTCTTATTGGGTCATTCTGTTGATACATTTAGTATTATGTACTTATTTCCTTAATAGATAATAGTGAGTTATTTCCCATGTGAAGGAACTAATTTATATATATTTTAGTTACTAAAATAATCTTTTGGATTTATATGTATATTGAAAAATATCAGCCTATTAAAAGTTTATTTTAAAGTGTGAAAATATGAGTTCATTCTGAAAGTTTGGTTTTATCAACTTTTTTTCCTTATTCCTACTCTTCACAAGATATGATATATCTAAAACAGGATTTTTCAACTTAAATACTATTGGAATTTTGGGTTAGACAATTCTTTGTTATAAAGATTGTCTTGTACATTGTAAGATTATTTAGCAGCATCCCTGGCCTCTACTCACTAATTGCCAGTAGCACACCCCTTTTTCTCTCCCTGGTTGTTATAACCAAAAATGTCTCTGGAAATCGCTAAATGTTAACCTTACAGCTACCATACAGTAGGGGGCAGACAAGTATTTTGATCTTTCCTAACCCATCATCCTGTCTTTCAAGTAAATGTCATTATGTTTATTCCTTGCTAGTTTTTTACCTTTTCCTTTTATTTGTTTTCAATGTATCAGTTATCTTTTATTTTAAGGCTCAGCAGTAATTAATTTGAAATAGTAAATAAGGACACTTGACCCTGTTCTAGTTTCTTTTATAAAGGCTTTTCAGTGAAAGATCTATTGATATAATGTATTTGTTGAAACAGACTAAGATTTTGTTCCTCTTTCTCCCTTCCTTCCATCTTCCATTTTGTTCTCTTTCTCAGGTCAACTCCTGCTTCTTCCCTGAGTGAGTAACATCTATAGCTCTACTTGCATTGAGTCTGAATCATTCTTTTAATTTAAAGGTACCCCAGAATTCATGGCCCCTGAGATGTATGAAGAGAAATATGATGAATCCGTTGATGTTTATGCCTTTGGGATGTGCATGCTTGAGATGGCCACATCTGAATACCCTTACTCAGAGTGCCAGAATGCTGCGCAGATATACCGTCGTGTGACCAGTGTAAGTCTTCCTCTCACTGACTGATGAACTTAGGTCACATTAAGAAAGAATCCAAGCTGGAAAACATCAAATAATGCAGAAGGGAGCAATAGTGAAGGCATACTGAGATGTTGGAAGAAGAGGGAGTTAAGGTATTTATTGCTCATGATACGGTGAGAGCAAACCTAGAGAAGCACCAGTTTATTCTGGATCCTCCTTGCATTCATTTAAATGTTTATTATGAGATGTAAGTTCTCATTTTCTCCCACTATACAGCTTATTTGAGTTATGCCCTTAAATTAAGCTGGTTTATTCACAGACTTTTTTTCTGAATGGCTTAAAATTGATATACTTAATTTGTTAAATCATTTATTAATACCCACAGTGTTTAAGGTATAAATTTAAACCATATTCTACTTTACACATGGTAATTAATCTCTGCCAAAAGAGGTATTTTCTAGAGTTTCCAATGGAAACGTGTAGCATAGTTGTTAGGTCCATAATATAAAGCACTGAAAGTTTACTATAATGGAAGCTTTCCACAAAAGGCATAACAGGTAACCAAAGTAATTTTATTGACTATTTTTATAACTTTTTATTTTATGAAAAAGTTTAAACATATACAAAAATAGAATACATTGAATTCCCATTTATTCAATGCAACCTGAATATTGGGGCCATTTTTGCTACACTTGCTTCATCTGTTTTTTCTCTATTTCATTATTTCATTTTATCACTGTGTACTTTATTATGTCTCTAAAAATTAAAGATTTTTATATTATATAACCATATCATACCTAAAAAGTATAATAGTAAATTTCTTGATCATTTAATACCCTAACCTATTAAGATATTTCCCCTATTTTTTCAGAGATGTCTGTTTACAGTCAGTGTTCAAAATAGGGTCTATCAAGGTCCACAGAATACATTTTGTTGTCATGTGTCTTTATCTAGAACTATTGCCCTTGCTTTCTTTTTCTGAGTTTTATTGATTTGTTGAAAGAATTAAATGAATTGTTTTGGGAAATGTTTCACATTCTGGATTTGTCTATTTGCTTCCTTATGATGTCATTTAACTTGTTATTCTATCTTCTATATTTCTGTAAACAGAAATTTACCTTTAAGTTGTAGACAGGTGTCAGTGATATAAAAATAATTTGCCTCTTTAACTCATTCATACAAAAGTGTACAGTGTTATTTTCTGGAGGCTAAATAATATATGATATTGTAGTAGATTAAATACAGAAGCAGATATGACAATCCATTGGTCTTTCTTTAAGCCATATTCTCAGTAAATTTTTCTTTTGTAGTGGGGAAAATATTGGATTTTTTATTTTAAAGTTTATATATTATTAACATTTAATTAGGTTTATTATAAGTCTTTTATAATAAATTGTTGGTTTTTGTTGTTAATCCTCACCAGAGGATATTTTTCCATTGATTTTTAGGGAGAGTGGAAGAGAGAGAGAAACACCAATGTGAGAGAAATACATTGATTGGTTGCCTCTTGCACAAGGCTTAGGTTAGGGAGGGGCCTGCAACCAAGGTATGTGCCCTTGACTGGAATTGAACCTGGAACCCTTTGGTCTGCAGGCCAAAGCTCTACCCACTGATCCAAACCGGCTAGGGCTATTATAATTTTTAATGAATTAATATTTTAAAACTTTCCCAGTTTTAATTTATAACACAGTAAATAACAATACTATAATACATAAGCAAAAGTCTTTCTGGTCCTCAATCATTTTTAAAAGTGTATGGAGGACCCCAAGAGAAACAAATTTGAGACCACTAGTTCCAAATGCTTGATTAAATTTAGGTGATTAAATTTAGGTTCATTCTGGCTGGTATGGCTCAGTTGGTTGACTGTCATCCTGTGTATTGCAGAATCTCAGGTTTGATTTCTGGTCAGGGCACATAAAAAAATTAGGTTTAAAAAATTTTGCATGAATAAATATGTGGTTCTGTGTATTTTATATTGCACTAGAGGCCCAGTGCATGGATTCATGTACCAGGGGGAGGGGGAGTCCCTTGGCCTGGCCTGTGTGGATCAGGCAGAGGCTGGCTCTCTGACATCCCTCGAGGGGTCCCGGATTGCAAGGGGGTGCAGGCCAAGCTCAGAGACCCCAGGCCACTAGTATGCATGTAAGATCTTTGGTTAATCTCTTCTCACTCTTCCCCCTCCCCCCTTCCACTGACATTCATCAGTCTGTTCCATGTTTCCATGCCTATGATTTCCACTCCTGTGTTTAGCATCTGCCCCTTGGTGATTAATGCATGACATAGATACCAGTCTGCCTGTATATGACTAGAGGTCTGGTGCACTTCATGCTCAGGGCGGGAGGTCCCTCAGCCCAACCTGCACCCTCTGCAATCTGAGACTCTTCGGGGGATGTCCAACTGCCTCTCACAATTGGGGACTGCTGGCTTCTAACCATTCACCTGCCTGCCTGCCTGATCGCCCCTAACCACTTCTGCCTGCCTGTCTAATTGCCCCTAATTGCTCTCCTACCGGTCTGATTGTTCCTAACCTCCTCTGCCTTGCCCCACACCCAAGACCCAGGATTCCCTCCTCTGACTGCTTGCAGGCACCCAGGATGCGGCTTTCCCTACCTCTGGCTGGCCACAGGCACCCAAGACCCAAGCCGGCTTCTCTTGGGTTGGCTGCCCCAACAGGGGACCAAGGGCCGGCAGCTTTGCCCAGGCCTCAGCCATAGGCGCTGGTGCCTGGGACCATGGGGTGAGCTGCTTGTTCATCTCCTGGGCTGTAGCCGCAGGCAGTGGCACCCAGGAACCTGGAGCAGGCAACTTGTCCCTCTCCCAGGCTGCAGCTCATTTGTGTCTGGCTGGTCCCCAGTCCTCTTTCCCCAGTGTTGAGTGTCTGAGCCATTATGGTGTGAGGGTATAACAACCATTTGCATATTAGCTCTTTATTATATACAAGGATTAAGAAGCACATAGTATCTAGTTAACTCATTTTTAGTGATGCATTTTCATTGAACTTTTATGTATTAGAAGATGTGATTATAAGTTGTTTATTTAGATTTTGATAGCTGATTTGAATGGTGATTTAGTATACTTCTAAAAAACTTAATGGCATAGTGGTTGAGCATTCACCTATGAATCAGGAGATCAGTTTTATTTCTGATCAGGGTATATGCCCAGGTTGTGGGGTTGATTCCCAGTGGTGGGGGTGGGCAGGAGGTGGTCAATTGATGATTCTCTCTCATTATTGATGTTTCTATCTCTCCCTATCCCTTGCTCTTTGAAATTAATAAAAATACATTTTTTTTAAAAAACTTAAGAAATATTTTTATTAGGGAAACCAAATTAGTTTCATGTCTTCACAAATAAAGTTTTTGGACATATTGTTGATTACTTCATTAATTATAATTGCTGTGAATATTCCTTTTTTTTTTTAGTTTGTAAGTGATTCTATTATGTGATAGGTATGTGACTACTTTGGACAGTTAGTTGATTTTATTCAGCATGAATGGTAAGAACCATTAGGGTCTTTATATCCAATAAAAATAACAGATATTGTTTGTATTGAAAAGAGCATTACTCTCAAGTTATCCTCAGCTTTGTAACTTTTGTGGTATTTTATCAATTACTAGAGGCCTGGTGCACAAAATTTTGCACTTGACAGGAAGGGGTCCTTCAGCCTGGCCTGTGCCCTCTTGTAGTGTGGAAGCCCTGTGGGGATGTCCGATTGGCGGCTTAGTGGGCCTAAGTTGTTAGTCGGACATCCTTAGCCATTGCCACAGAGGCGGGAGAGGCTCCCACCACTGCCGTTGTGCTCACCAGCTGTGAGCCCGGCTTCTGGCTGAGCAGGGATCACACTGACCACCAGGGGGCAGCTCCTGTGTTGAATGTCTGCTCCCTGGTGGTCAGCTTGCATAGTGACCAGTCATTGTACCATTTGGTCATTTGCATATTAGCTTTTTATTATGTAGGATATGCTGTAGATGAGGACCCCTAGAACCATAAGAAATCCAAAAAAATTACTTAAGTCATTCTTGAAATGCCCTCCCCGCCCCGTGGTGCATGTGCTGCACCTTGGGAACCATTGAGTTTGACACTCTTCCTCTCTGAGCTTAATTTCTGAATATATACACATATACCTTGGGAATTATAACCTCTTCTCTGCCTACCTCACTGGGTTGTCATGAGGAGGTTCTGAGTTAATAAACCTAGAAATGTTTCATCAAGTAAATGATGTCTACATGGAAAGGGATTGTTGTTTTTAAGCCCACATGCACCCTCTCAAGTAGCAAGTGCTGATTAGGGGAGGAAGGCTTGATTGTTTCCTGGGACTGTAGCTATGGAAGCTTTGCAGAGGGTTCTGCAAGCCTCAGAGGGGCAGGCTCTGGCCAGCAGCCCAGTAGTGGTGGTCATCCCTGGAGGCACTGGCGGGGGACGGGCACTAGGGGTGCGGTGAGGCTGAAGGGGGAGTAACTGTCAAACCTCCCCACTTGCGCCATTCTTTAAATTGTACGTGGCTGTTTCGCAGTTGTACTTGTTCAGGGCGGGGCTCCAATTTCCTGGAGTGGGGTGGGGGCTGGGCCAGTGTGGGGGCAGCATGGAGCCAGGTGGGCTAGGAGGGCAGGTTTAGTTGTGCCCCAGCGAGGTTCAGCATGCTTCTTCTGTGGAAAGGGTGCTGCTGCTGTGGCAGGGGAGGGTCTGACCCTGGGGGGTGGCACTCAGGCCTGCCTCCACCCGGGTCTGGAGTTGTAGGGAGGAGAGGTGTGCCTGGCCCCAGCAGACCCTGGGTGCCTCAGGGGTGCTGATGGATGGTAACCAGTGTGTATTGTTTTGGGCACTCCTGGCGGGGGGTGTTGGGGGTAGAGATCAGGAATCAGAGGTGTGGGCTGTAGCTACCCCCTAGGCTGGATCTTCTTCCCATCTGGTCAGCCTTCCCGTCCCTTCGGGGGTGCAGAGGCCGGGATAGGGTGCCCATGCAGGGGGAACAGAAGAGTTCCCCGTGGTCACTTCCTCTTCCTTCCTTTGTAGTCCTGGCTCCT